TTGTTTTTTTCCCCCCCCCCCCCCCCCCCCCGCTCCATCGCACGGCTGCGTTTGTTTTGGTTCCCTCCCAACCAACACTCCAGCACCACCACCCCCCACCCCCTTTCCCCAGATTTATAAAGAACGTTTTACTGATTTAATTTGCGGGATGAGCTATGTTGGTGCGTGCCGAGACTCGGCGGGGTCTTTTCGCAGAAACGCAAAATACAGAGTAAACTAAATCCAGCCGTCCTGCTAAAAGACGGGAAGACGCGCATGTATATGTACATAAAACGCCTTCTACATTTGCAATGCGCGACGTATTTGCATGTAACTTCAGCGCTTGTGAGTATGGGCTTTCATGTATGGATAGCGAGAAACTATGTAAATACGTGAGAAGTCCGTCATTAGTCCAAAATCCCCGTTGGAAGTGGCAAAACGTCCCTTTCTAGGAATGCTTTCCATTAAATTTAAATGGTGTGAGCAAGGCAATAAAATTTTCTCATTTAAAAAAAAAAAAAAAAAGTAAAGTATTTTCTAAGTCTGACTCGAGGTGATTGAAGGTGCTTTTGCAACAGTTTATTAAATTATGTAATAGAGAGCAGAGGATTTGAGGCTGGGAAACTTTCACACAGATCAGGTGGGAGAGGGGCGAAGGAGCCTTGGCTTATCCCAACGGAAAATTGTCTGAGTCGAAGGGTAACAAAAATAAACGCGTCCTCCCCGCTCATCTATTATTCATTTACTACTCCTGCCGGCTCGAACCGTGCCAGGCTATTTCATAAAAGACGGCCAAATATTTTATCGGCTTCCACTCCAAATATTTACCCGGAGAAAGGCTAAAAATCTCCAGGCCTATTGTTTTATCAAGTGCTAAGCCCGATCCGAGGTGCGAGACGAGCTTTAACAAGGTTTAAAATTTGAGAAATGTATTTGCATGAGATGCCCGCGCTGAAGTCATTGTGTCTGAGCGGATGTCTTTAAGAAACAATTTAGGTGCTAATGGAATTTAATGTTAAATGCTTCCCCCCACTCCCCCTCAAATGCGGGGGGGGAGGGGGGAATGTGGAGTTCTCACCTCCAAATTACTCCCCGGTATTTGGAGTCCTGGCAGCCGGGGCGAGAGGAATCCCTATGAAAATGAAAATGAAGTATTTAACAGACATTTAGTTTTCCCAGTGGATGTGCGTTTATCTCGAATATCCATACACGAAACAATCTGCCCGGCCTTAAATCTGTCGGTAATGGTTTCCAGTTTAACAGGATAGCGGATTTGGTACTGAGGCGAAACGGCTCGATGCTTGCTTATTTATTTATTTATCTACCTATTTATTTATTTATTTAGTAATTTTTCTCCCATCAGAGCCTTCTTATCCTCTCTCCCCACCCCCCCCCTTTTTTTTTTTTTTCCCCCCCACCTTTCTTCTGGAGTCTCTTTCGGGGCCAGTTTTGTGTCAGCACAGGTCGAAATAAACCCAGGCGGGATGCTGGGCCGGGGGTGCCCGAGGGCGTCGGGGGGCGAGCTGATAGGAAAACCAGGAGGGGCACGGCGCTGCCTCGCTGCAGGGCAACGCGGGAGCGGCGCGGCCTTTCAGCGGCCCGAGCAGGGTAGCAGAACTTCAGCTCTAGTGCAGCTACCACTTAAAGTCTGGCAATTTCTTACTGTAATACTTGCATCTAATAATATTTTGGTGTATCCTTAGAATAGGCTCTCTTAACAGAGATTACTAAAATTTATAACTTCATATAATTCAAAAAACTTTTCCTTATCTCGGTAACAGTTGCTGGTGTGTAAGGATGACCTTACACACACACATCTATTGCCATATATACAGAACAGTAGAAGGTGTAAGTTATGTACATTTAGCTTTTATTTTGTTTAAAGATTCTCAATGTCTTCTAAAACTGAAGATAACATTCCTATATAGCTCAAAACTGAAAAATAGCAGTGACTTTCAGTGATCATTATTAATGTCTAAAGGAAACCACTGATAGAAATAGGACCCCCCCACACCCCGTGCCTAGTTTGTTTTCAGAACCTACAATGAGTGTATCCACATTAAATAGATGATTAATAAACTTTTAAAAATTTAATCTAGTTGCAACTAATTATTTTATTTAGCATGAGCTAAAATTCTCTTGAAGATTTGATCTAAGAAAAAGATAATTACATTTCAAATAGGGCTTAAGCTTGTATTTTCATTTTTAATGGTTTTATGTAAGTCCAGTTTCAATGCTATCTTTAAGTATGTTAAATCTCAATATAAGCTTGGTATGGGGGGGGATTTTCAGAAAAACTTTGGTGTTTCTGGTTTAAGAACAGCAGCTTTATTAAAACTTGAAATAGAAGATGTGTGGGATACACGAAAATAAAGACAAATATCTTTTTCTTGTTAAAGCAGGGTGTTTATTACAGTCCCATAGCTGTGAAGGGTTTTTTCAGTATTTTCTGGAATACACTTAAAGAATAAAGAACAAATTTATGGAAATATTTGTAAACAGGTGACCTGATCTAGGTATCTGCTACTCATTCACTAGGCATAGGATGTGTCTTGTCATGGTATCTACAGTGAAGAAATCAAAATAAATTTAAGAATTTGGCTGTGTGAACACAGTGTTTCCTGCAATAGGTATTTGACTATACTTACTACCTCTATGAAGTTATATTTTTGTTCTTATTTGATCACGGTTAGTTATTCTCATGACTTTTTTTTTTGTTTTAAGTTTTAAAGTTTTGTTTAATATCTCAGAGTGTATTACATTTCCAGTATATGTTTTAAAGTAGGTTATATTTGTAGGGTACATTTTAATAAAAGAAATAATGATGCTGCCTTAAAGAGAAAACAAGTTCAGTGTTTTTTAAAGAAAACCACTAGAAGTTAAATCCTTAACAGTCAAGAGTATATTTTAGGAAATATTACATTAGTAGTCACATATCCATTAAGTACTTTATACTTACTACCTCTTTACTTGTTTGAGGGTGCAGGGAGAGATTGGGGGTGATGGGAGGGAGACCCCCCCCCCCCCCCCCCTTTTTTTTTTCTTCCTCTTCCTCCCTCTCCAAGAAAGTGATGGACTCGTTTTCTCCCGTTCCCCTTCCCCACCTCCCTCTCTCTTTTTTTAGTTCACCCCTTTTAAAAAAAAACAACAGTAACGTGGGAAGAACAAATTATTTCTTTTGTAATCGTGATATCTTGAATATTGTGTTCCTTTTTAAGAGGCAACTTGATTGTAAACTGCATTTCAACTATAGACTGGGGAAGAAATACCGTGCCAAAGTCTCCATTCTGTTACTCACAGACACACACACACGAACAACAACGCTTGTGAATGTATTTTTTCTGTTAGCTGGGTTTACATGTGATGTTTAGTGCTTTTGCAAGTTCAATTTGTTAGTTCCTGTTCGGAAGATTGTGAGGAAAAATAAACGTCGTGCCGTTAGCTTTTCCGTAATAACACCCTTCCTCCTGTAAATACCTGTTACCATATTTATCCATTTGTAATTAAATTATGGTATTAACTTGCTACAGAGGAAACAGTATTTATAAAGAATGTTTCTTAACTATAAATATGTACAATTGTGAGCATAAACTGTTTCAGATTTTTTATTTGAAGGTTTAAGTGGTTTCATCATTTCTTGTGATATGTTTTGAGAGTAATGCATACAGAAATATAATAAAACGTGTTGAAACTGCACGAGCTGTTTCCTTTTTATGCCATGGACTCTGAGACCTGCTGTAAAGCATGTGAGGGGCTGGGCGGCTGCAGAACAAATGCTTTCAAAAATCCCCTGGTTTCTGAAACACGAGGATTTCTTCCAGCTGGGCTCCAGAAGAAAATAAAAACATATATTAAAAAAAAAAAAAAAAAGGGGGGGAAAAAGCTGAGCTAAAGAAAAGGGCGAGCCTTTGCATCTTCCCCAAATTACTTGCGAGGCAGGATCTGCTATAGGACGAGCTTTAGACGGCAAGAGAGCAGCTCCCTTCGCCTTCTGCCTTGGCTCGGGCTTACGCTTCCCTTCCCGGTGCGCGCGTGGCGGGGGTCTTCTTGCCCCACAGGGTGACAAAGCGAGACGCTCCGGGATGAAGACGGAGGGGAGCTGACCAGACTCTGAGCTCTGCGCAAGGCTGCTTGGAGCCGTGAATCCTGTCCTTCTGCATCTCCCCGTATTTTTTGGTAGCCTCCATCCAGATCTGGAGAGAAGAAAGTGGCGATGCTCGAGAGCTCACATTTCCCTTGGAGCTTTCTCTCTCACTCTGGGTTTGTTTGGTTTGGTTTGGGGTTGGGTTTTTTTTTTGAGGTTTTTCTTTTTTTTTGCAGCCAGGGAGAGGTTGATGTTGGTCAGATGTGTTCGGCCAGGGGCGGGCAGCCGCCGGGAGATGCCACTCCGGGAGCGCTGTCCCGGTGCTGCGCCCCGTGGGCGCCGTCAGGGGCCCCACCGGGAGAGCCGTCCGTTTGGGGCTGGCTGGCAGGGGCTCACGGGCACACCGCACCCCGCCGTACCGGGACGCCCAAAGCGAGTGTCAGAGCAGCTGCGAAATCGTGGAAAAAAAGCTCGGCCTTGCCAAGCCACCGAAATACACCCTGCGAAGGGGCAGCGCTGTGAGCCGGACTCCGAGCGCCCTGCGGTGGCTGCGCTGCCTTCAGCGGCAGCTTGTCCCAGCAGGGACAGCCCTTTGCTCCTCACACCCCGCCGACCTCATCACCACCAGCCGGGACGGTCCTCGGTTTCTCTTTTCCGAGCTTTTTCTCCCGTGTTCAAGTAACCACCGAGGTGCCCCCAGCGGTGTGGGGGAGATACGTTGGGAGAAGAGGGCACACGGGGCCTTCCTTCATTCTTGGGGGAGGTTAGGGGTGACCTACACTCAGGAGGAAGGGAGGAAGGAGGGAGGGAAAGACCTCGCCGTCCCACCGCTGCCGAAGAAGTTTAGGTGCGGAGCAGAGACGGAACGTCCTCTGTGGCCGTGGCCCTCCCAGAGCGGCCAACCCCGCGCACACCCCGGCAAGCTCCCCGGATAATAAAATGGCTATTAAGGCCTAATTTATGTTCGGTAATAATATTACGCCGCAAAAAAAAAAAAAAAAAAAAAAAAAATAGTAAAA